GAAAAATATAATTGAGAAGTTTGAGGATCATTTTGGTACCATCTGGTTTATGGAAAGGCAGCAGAAGAACCAGACCCTGACTAGCTAGCTGAACTCAGACCTTGGGGAAGAACCCTGGTTCTAGTTTTCTGAAAGCCTGAAGACCAACAGCCAAGCCCCCAAACAGCCTCAGCTTGCATCTGAGCCCATCCTTTGCACATGCAAACTTCGTAGTCTGTCTTCAGTAGAAATGGGACAGGGATAAAGAAGTTGCATTCCAAACCATTCCCATGAAATAGGCTCAGTTTTGATTACACCCAGTTTGGACAGCACCGTTCCAATCTGCTGAAACTAGAGCTGAAGAGCAGCAGCCAGAAGTGCTGTTCCTCCCTTTAGTTGCTGCCATGTAGCCCAGAGCTCATTCAGTTTCTGGCTGTCGGCAACCACCTCCCACCCAGGCAAGAAATCACTTTCTCCTCTTTTTAGCAAGTCGTTTGAGCGATCAAATTTGTGCCCATTAAGCAGTTAACTAGTCACACTTCTTGGAAAGAGGCACCACACCTATTAAGTACACAGCATCAACAAAGAGCTAATTTGTGGAAATTCAAGCATGAGGCAAAAATAGTTGAAGCCAAGAGGAGTTTGGGGTGAAGCTGCATTAGACTGGCCCACCCAACCAAACAGCTGCCAAAAGAGGAGCACTACCATCCTCTCCTTTTCCCCCTATCCCTGTGAGGGTCTCAGAGCCTCACCAGCTCTGATGCTTGCCCAGTCCTTGTGTGGCCCATCTCCTCCTGGCAGGGAAAAAAAAAAACCACTGAACTTTTATTTCTGAATTTATTTTCTTATTCCTTTAGGTGGGATACACTTAGTTGCTACTGAAATTAATTTCATAGATAAGTACCTATGCACAGAGATGAAAGATGAGCACATGAAAGCAAAATTCACTGACAAGTTGCATCTGCTGTGAGGCTACACTTAAAAGCACAGAGGTTCTTCAGATGGTATCTCACCGTAGAAAGGGCAGATTTCAAACCATACACCACATTGCTAATGAGGATACAGGAAATCTCATCCATTTTTTCCACTTGAAGCAAAACATCTTTTCTCACAAAGGGAAATGTTGATGTTTCCCTGTATGATTTAAGCTTAAAGAGGAAGCTGACAGGCTGAAAGTCACGATGAAATGTAAAAACTGGCTCCAACACAAACAAGCCTAAGCTTGACAAAATAGGCCGTGGTTTTAACAAGCAGCTTAAGAGAAGACCAAGGTGGAGGCCCTTAATGAAATCTAATGCCTTTTGAGGCCAAAAATTTTAGAGCAGCATTTCTCAAGCAGTTCAGATTGGAAATCCTATATAAAAGGAGAAAAAAACCAACAAAAAACCCAAACAAAACCAAACAAACAAACAAAAAAAACTTGCAAGTTCCCATAGGTGTTTTGTAAAGCTGAAGTAAAAAAGTTATGGTTAAAGTGATAAGCCTATGGAATTTATTGTTTCATGTATGGTTTTGACAGGTTGCCAAGAGAATGGTGCTGCTCTATGGAGAGTGGAAGAAATGACATTTTCTTTGCTTTAGATTGTTATAAAATTTTCAGTTCTTTACAAGCCCCCAGATGGTTTTTATAACCCCTTCAGGGGTTGCAGCATATTGACTGAGAAATACCGATTTATATAGCAAACTCCACTCTCTCATTGCTGGCAAAAATTACTGCTTTGTATATGTGTATACGCACAGTGGCTGAATATAAATAAAAGCCCCAAAATAATGAGATCTGAGGCAAAATCCGCCACCTGGTAGTACATTAACTTGGATCAAATTTCCCTAAATTTACACTGGTGTAAAAGGAGGAATATTTGGCCCTAAATCTTTTAGGTGAACTCTGAATTGAGGATTAAGAAGTTTGTACTCTGTTTCACCCTGCAAACATAGCAGATTGCCGTGGCAGGAATAGGGAAGCATTTCTAATCAACAGTTCTCCTGGTTTTCATTGGCTTTCGTTGTGTTCATCTGAAGTGTTTTAACTGGAAATTATTGGCGACTTGGGACACAGTAAGCTTGCAACAGAAACACCACAGTGAGTGACCTTGGCACCTCAGGAGGAGCAGCTCTGAAATGCTTTGCCTGTGATGAATAAAGTAAACAGTGTGTTCAGCTTTTGGGTTTGGAAGACCACTATAATAATCTGTATTTTGTACATTCACGAGGCAATTCTTGCCGAATGGTGACTTTCCAAAATATGTTTAAATCCAGGAGTAGGCCACGAAGAGCTCATCTCCTTGGGTGACTAAACCTGTGCTTTTGCCCACGGGTCCTGTGCAATCAGGCTGGTGGCTTGGCTCTGGGACTGCCTGGGTACAAAATGCCATGGGACCTGGTGCTGTGCTCCAGCACACAGCTAGGGAGGAGGTGGAGCTCCATTCTTCCCGTACTGCAGGGTTAGGTGGTCACTTAGAACGCAGGATGTGTGATTTTAACTCCCCGGAAAGGGCGGAGGAGAGTTGCTGGTGTTCCCAGGAGGCTTTTCTGGAGCAAGAGAGAGCTCTTCATTTTGGTGCCTTCCTACTTTGCATTAAAGAATTAAGAATGCACTTGATCAGGCAGAAGGAAAGGAAGAGCATGGCACCGTAGCTTCATATTTAAGTCATCCTTTGGGAGGGTGGAGACTGCAGTTCTGCTCCCTGCTTGTCAGGCAGAATACTTTTGTATTTTACATTAATCAGCCAGTGAATAAAATACATGAACAACCCTTAGGCTGGACAGAAACTTTAACTGATATCCTTGTACTCAGCATTTCCTCTGCTCCTTTGCATTGCAATACCTCGCTCGCTTCTTGGAGCTGAGCCTTAACCTGTGCCCTGTAGCTCTGCACGGGGAGAAGCAGAACTGCTGCACTAAACTTTCTGGCAGTTTTTATTATGCAGATTTTCAAACCTTTAGATCACAAACTTTCTCTGTCAAGGCACGCACGCAGCTCCCAGCTCCTTCAGCCCCCGTCTCATCTGGAAGCCGCCTCACGCTGATTTTAAGGAAGCAGCAGTGAGCTGCTTCCAGATTACCTTGGATTTGCGTGGATTTGGGGCTAAGCCCCATCAGCGAAGCTGCTGCTTAAACTTTTGCACACTGTGTTTAAGTTTGTAGGGCCCAAGTGACCAGAGCTGGCGAAGATGTATTGTTGGTTCAACTATTCCTGCACACTTGGACAGCTGTTAAAAGAGCAGGCAGCAGAACAGCTCCAGACCTGAAAGAAGGCAAGCAAAGCAGACTTGGCAGAGGTAAAAAAGCACAGGCGAGTCAGCTGGCTCGGGGGAGGCAAGTCAGAGGAGCGAGCCTAGAGCGCAAACAAAGCAAATGGCAGCCTTGAGGCTGGCCCAGGTCCTGGTGGGGCAGAGCTGAGCCACCAGCCAAGGCATGGCCTGGTTCCCAAGGCCAAGAGAGGCGTATGTCGGCAACGAGGTCAGCAAGGGAGATGATGTGAATGAATGCCACAGTTTTTTTGGCTGAAATTTGCCTGTTACTTCAGGCTAGAAATGCTGCCATTTGCCTTTGTAAATACCCTATTGAAAAACACGGGCTCTATGGCACTCAGCTGAAGGACAAAGATCTCATCTGCAACTCCTCAGCACTAGGAAAAGCCAGTGCTGCTACGTCAAGCCTAAATTAACTTCCCTTGGTGTGGGCAGGATGTAGCACTTAAACTCCTTTGACATGCATTTCCTAGGGACAAATGGCAATTCCCTCTGTGGCCCATCATTTACTAGCTGAATAAAAGCAGAAGGAGATGATTAGAGTGGGGAACTGCCTTGCTCTTTCTATATTTAGTGCCCTGTCAGCTCGGCCTATAACATTTTGCTATTCAGTTGTAAATAATACTCTAAGGAGGGGAATAAAATGGGGAATAAAATGAAAATCAAACTTGGAGAAGCTGGTATAAAAAGAAAAAAGAAGTCCATAGGTCCAGAACACAGAGGAATAAGCCTTCTACTTGTGTTTCAGAGCAGATGGTGGTGGTAGTGGAGCGCATCCCACCACCCGCCCCACGGTTTGGAGTGATGCAGGGCTGCAATCTTTGGGGTCTGCCAGCTCAAAGATGCATAAATCAGTCTTTCTGGCTGGCTCCTTCTGCCTGGCACCTGCCAGCATGGTCTGACGTGGAGACTTCCAGCATTATACCTAAAGGAATTCTCACATTTATATTTCCAAGAGTTCTGGGAGGCCTCACATGTTTCTTTTACATGTATGCATTTAAATCTATTCAAATTTTTTCCTCTCATGAATCATCGTGAATCATCGTCGGGACTTATTAGCTTAAACTCGACACAGCTCACACTTGTAAAGAAAAATACAAAATATATATGCCTTGAGTATTCCAGTGGTAGTCGGACATCTTACAGCAGTAAATAAAATTTCCAGTGACAGCCTTCTGAGGTGAAGTGGAATATTCCTGTTTTACAAAATAGTAGTGGAGGGATAGAGATCACTCCGTAGCTGTTCAGGAAATCTGTGGAAATGACCCCAGATCTCTCGTATTTCAACATCTTTGCTAACCCACAGGACCAGCTTCTTCTAAAACCAGATGGAAAAGCAATGCATAAAGGAAGAGAACAAAGAAAAGGGTTTGGTTTGGTTTGGTCCGTTGCCAATGAAGAGTAAAAGAAGAAGGCCATTAACAAAGCATTTTCCTGTATGATTCAAATTAGGGCAGCCCATAATGGCTGAAGACAATTGTGCTTTTATTCTTTTTCAGTGATATTTTCAAATTTGGGAAAGTTTCTGCTGTTCTTTTGCCGTTCAACGTAAGTAAGTTGTGTTTGGTTCCACCACCAGAATGATTCACTGCACTGAAGAAATTCAGAACTTCCCCAGTAGAGGAAGTACATTACTAAATTTTAAATCTTGACCACATCAGTACAGAGTCTTCTATGCTGGGAAACAATTTCTCTACAGTCTGGAGGAGGTGCTCTCTAGAAAATGAAAAATGAATTTTGTATTGTAAACCCCATTTAAGTTCACTGGGTTGTTGGGGTTTTTTTCCATGAGTAATGAATGAATAAAAACAAACAAACATCCTTTTGGATATGAACTAAAAAGAGGCATAAAACATTAGTTTGGCTTTTAGCCATACCTACTTGGAGATCCACTGTTTCAGTGAGTTTTTGGTCGTGCTCTTCAAGAAGTACACAATACATAGTTTATTCAAGATAACTTATGATAACAGCTCGAGGCATTTTGGTTACAAGCCGTAGGTTTCTTTATTACTGACTCATTCTTCTGGAAACCTGGCCTTGGCTCTGCATTCTGGCTGAGACAGGGTTTTTTTTTACATTTTAGTTTCTTCAGTTCTTTCAAACTGAAAAAGGATAAAAGAAGTTATAAGGAGTATATGTAAAAAAATTCAATCTTGAAGTTTCTATTCACTGGTTTATGGCTTCTTTCATCTGAAAACTCACAAAATTCAATTTTTAAAATAAATATTTATGAAACAAGCGTTGGCAAAATGTGCTTTCCTGCCAGCTCCAGTGAATGCTTTCCGATGACCCTTTTTCCAAGACTACTTGGCTGTTTTCATACAGCTCATAATACAGTGCAGTGCTCTGTCTTCTCTGGGAGAGGTCAGCTCACACTCTGAAGCAGCATCTCATGAAGGGACCTTGCATTTGGTCGAACAGGGTTTGGATCTGTTCTGTTCCATATGCTGAACTGTGGGACATGTTGGAATAATCCCTTCGCAGGAGGAAACCAAAGAGCCTATATAGAAGGGACATTTGTTGTGATTAATAATGTGAAGTTGTAGACGTGGGGCAGTTAGGACTGTTTCCTGCATTTTATTGACAGGGAAACAATAAAAAAAACTAATATTCTCCCCAGACATTTACAGATTAAGAATTTAGTTCTTTGGTTTGCGCTGCACTCCACTCAAGCGACTTCTGAGGCTAACAAGTACATTGTATTCTCTGAGGGTAAGGACTGAAGAGAAATTCAATATTCAGCCCAAGAATATTAAATCAATTTTGATTACTATTCTCTTTCAGAGGCCTGTAGAGAGGAACAAGGTTCAGGGCTTTGCTTTCAACCCCCTTGGATGGAACAGGCTGCTGCTCAGCCTACTGGAGCAAGCGTGTTATTGGCCTGTTCGGCCGGTAGTGAACACCTAAAGCACAATTGTAGTCAAGAGTCCAGAAGAGAAATGCTATGGCTTTGATTCCCCAGAGGTTCACACCACTGTCTGAAACAATTAGCAGCTGCAGCCTGTAATCACTTGCCACTCAGGCAGGAAGGAAGCCCAGCAGCGGGGAGCCAAGGGACAATGCAAACGTTCCTTGCTCCCAACCTGGCTGCTCCTCTGTGCGCCAGGGCAGCGCCACAGCTCACCCCAGAACATGGGACTGCCAGCTTTCCATCAGAACTGTCTTCCCCCGTCACAGGGCAGCCGGCCCTGACACCTGAGCTAAACCTCAGCATCTCTCATTAGCCTGCCCGTTCCCAAAACAAAAGCAGCTCCCGCATTCACGAGCTGGAGTGACACAGGAAATCACGCTCTGCTCGTTCTGCCAGAATAACGTGGAAGATGGCAGACTGGGCAGTCTCTGGCTAAAACTAAAGGGTTTTTGTCCTTCAACTAATTAATATACCTCAGGTCTTCAAAAAGCCTGTTGTTTCTTAGCAAGATATTTCATAGTTTTCTTCTGGTCTATTTTCCTGCCTGCACCGAAACTCTGATCATGCTAATTATCTTCATCTCCTGTGACTTCTGTCATGCTTTTCTTGACCTCTCTAGGTCTCTAGGGCTTGGCAATTAAGCACTCAGCTCTGGTAAAGGGGAGGTTTCGTGTATATTTTTATTTTTATATATATATATTTCTTTGTAATATATATATAAAGCACCTATCATCATACTGAAAAACATCCTATTTTCCCGAATTTATTTCTCCACTCACCACCTCCATTTGGTGTATTTGATGCCTCAGTGTCTTGGTTTGCCCATCCCCTTCTGCACTCCAGCACCAGCTTCTTCCAGGACTGATGTCCTCTCTAGGAGGAGAGACTCTTGCCTGTGGTTTACTCCAGACATCCCCTTGGGTCAGTTTGTGCTGCAACAACAATAAGGACAGGATTAACTGGTTCAAAGCTTTAAGAATTAATCTGAGAGACGATGGGAAAGGTCCCTTCCCCTGTCCCCTTCTCAGAGCTGGAGTTCAGGCTAACAGCTTATTAAGGCAGAATTTCTGAAGTTTGTAAAGTTTCAGTTTCTGAAGGCAGAAATGGACTGAGTGGTTCATAGTTCAAACTTATTCTTTCAGAAAAGGGTGGGGGTTGTTTTTAATAATGCCACACTAGCTTGTGAATTAATGTTTCAGTTTTCTGAGATAAAAGAGCAGTCTGATTTGGAGGACTGCCTGACAGGATGTAACAAGGAAAAAGATGTGGACAAATCTAGTTCTTTAGATTTAGTTGCTACTGTGTATTAGGATTAAAATATCAACTACCCACTATCACTCTGTAGGAAAGATTTGATATATTTTCAGTATATTGTAAATATATAGAAAAGCATATATGATATTACTTTTGATTTTCCTTTTTTAATTTAAAAGACAAGGAAACCAGCACTATGGGAGAAAACAGTAAATTTCAGGAAAAGGTTTTTTACAACTACCAATAACAAAACAAACAGCTTTAATCCCAGAAGACACTGCCTTAGTACAAACAGCTAGATTGACTTTTGAGTAGAAACAACTTCATCCTTATTCATGTAAACGTGTCCAAGAAAGTTCTAGAAGTCTCCAAACAGCTGCCAAGGAACAAAACCACATTTGCCCTCTCTCAATTCACTCTTACACAACTGCAGCCGGTGGCCTAAGTGGAGTTCTTTTGGCTGAAACCTTAGGCTGGGCATCAGTGATGCTGAGATCAAAGGAAGACGTGTCAGCCTTGCCCCTGGTGAGTGTGGTGCCCTTCCCCACTCAGTGCCTCAGCCCTCGAGCCTCCAGGGCCCTTTTGCATTCTTGCAGTTCCTAATAGGCAAAACCATGAATTTGTAGGTTAGGAAGAGGTTGAAAGCTATGGTCAAACCCCTTTCTGGGACAAGTGGTTTAGATACCACTGTAGCCAAACTTAACCAAGCCCTAACTGAAGCTTCAATTTGCTACATCTGCTCAGTCAGTGCTCGCCAGGAATGATATCACAAGGAAAAAATGGGGGAAGAGTGGGACAGACAGGATGGCAAACCATTTCCCAGGCATCAGCAGTGCCATCCCCACGGCATGGGGGTGTTGTGGACAGATGCAGCCCATGCTCTTGCTCTGTGGTTAGCCTGCATCACAACTTCCCACCATCTCACTTATTTCCGTCCCTGTTGGTGTCAGTGCCAGGTCAAACCCTGGCCAGATGGCCAAGGCCAGCCCTTGCCTCTGCCAGGCCCTTTCCCTGCTGCACCAACACAAGCTCCAACTCCTGAGGCTTCAGCAGGTAGATCCATCCATGAATCCAAGCACCACTAGGAAAGCTTGTCCCAGGCTGGGCACCTTTCCCCATGCCAGAAGCTGGGAGGCTGGACACTTGCACCAACCAATGGCTCCCTCTAGAAGAAATTTAGCACAGTGAAGTCATCCTGTGGGGCTGAACAGCTCTGGTGAAGCACATTTTACTCCCAAGTCTGAATCTCTGGCTGGTACCCAAGCACCAGGAGTGCTCCTTCCTGAACAGAGGATGTTGCCAGCACTGATCCATCTTGCTGTGGCTCCGCAGACAGAGACTTCCATTTCCACAGCTATCATAACAGTGCTTGGGATATGTTTCAGTCTCCAAGCTGTGTACACTGTCTGCATTCTGAAACCACATGTAAACTGGTGGGCTCGTGGACCAGCCTGAGAAAACCTCAGCTCTGCACCAAAGTCGCCCTCTCAGGGTCTTTCCTGGGTCAGCACCTTTTCACCACAAACACACATAGCCCAGCAGACAAGAGATCAAAGCTACTCCTTAGCCCAGACAGGACACCATGAACCAGAGGTTGTCTCACGTCACCTCCTTCTAAAGGAAAAGCAAACATGACTTTTTTTTTCTTTTTTTTTTTTTTTTTCCTGAATGGGCAGCTCTGCCCTTCCCACTGTGTTTCAGTGTCGTAAGAGGGAACATAAATCAAGGTCCCCACCACTGCATGGACTTCCCCTGGCCACACAGGAATCCATTTTCTTTTTTTTTCTTTAACAGGGCTGAGATGATCTATATGCAGCTTTGTTTGGTTTTTTTTTTTTATGTTCTAATCCTGGCTTGCCTCCATCCACTTTTGTCAGCTAGGATTTTGCTGCTTTGTTTTCCAGTCGCACTGTTTGGGTCCAGTGGATAAGCTGTTAAGTCAGAAAGCTCACACACAGGCAGCAGCATCCCCAGCTCAGGCTTGCTCTTGCCCCATCAGGCTTGACAACACTTCAGAAATGATTGATGTAGTAGCCCCAGTGCCTTCCCTTGAGATGACAGCACTCAGGAAAGCTGTCAGTGCTCAAGGAGGAGAAAGGATCACCACAGAAATGATGGCTCATTTCAGCTTATCTCCAGAGGCAGTTACTCAAAGGTACCTGGATTAGGGTTTTTAACTTCATGAGTTCCTGGATAGCTGGCACCAAGAGCTGTATTTCTGCAGTAGAATGTGGATGTACCTCCCTCTAGTCATGATGCCATGAAGCAGCCAATATCTGCAGTTCATTTGGTGCACTCTGAGGTTCAGAGGTCATGGAGGACCATGTAAAACATCTGCCCAGGTTCAAACAAGTGCAGATAAGTCCCCTCATAGAGGATTCTTCTGACTGTGCCTGGAGGGGGGAGGGACAGAAGGTGTGTGAAGCAACAGGAGGTGTACACCTTATGTTGCACTGGCCTTATGTTTCCGGTTCTCATGCCCTGTGGTATCAGAAGAAGCTATTTTTGGCAATTTGCCTGTTAGCAGGAAGGTCCAGGAAGGTACTCCAGATGGCAATGAGCTGCATAAAGCAAATTCAGCTTTCCTTAGGAATTTCCCACCTGGTTCATACACTAGTCCAAAGGTAGCAGTCTCACCTGGTGCTTTATGCCTGCCCCCTTGATTGTTCAGGCTCAACAATCATTTATGTTAAATAAATGGCATATATCAAGCCATTGTTTTTAGTACCCCATAAGAAAAAGGCCAGGTATTGGGCCTAAAGTAGCTTTGGGACAGCTCAGAGCACTGGCATCTCGCATCCATCCATTTCTTCCAAGAGCACTTTGGATTCCCTGTGCTTCTAGAGCAACCATTTCTCACTGTCACTTCTGGCCAGCCCAGTCCTCGGAGGTGCTCTGGACTTTGCTTTCTTAGGGTGGTTATTTCTCTCACAGAAGAGTTCCTGGTAGCTTGCCATGGTTTCTCTCAGTAAATCTTCACATAATCCAATTTTTGTAAGCTTTTTTTCATGTCAAGTGTTGAGCAACCTAGTATTACATCATTTGTACTGAGTGTTCACTGTCATCAAGAGCAGAGAACTGCCTACTGGATATTAGTTCCATTCAGAGGTGAAACAAAGACGTTTTTACTGAGCCTGAGTGTTTCAGTCAAAGAGAATAATCCTGACCCCAGCCTAGAACCTAGAACCAGAGTCAGGCAGCTGCCAAATACAGCTCCCTCACCTTTCAGAAGTGGTCTGTTCACATTAGCAGAGCAACACAGGACAACTGAATTCCAGTTCAGCAGCATTTAGAGTCGAGTTTGCATAGAAATAAATAACTACCCAAGGATCAAAGGCAGGGAATCAGAGCCTAGCGTCCATGCACTGTATTCAAAACGAACGGAACCTTGCAGGTCTCTTTTCATAATCACTAGGATTGGCTCATTCCAAAATGCTATTATTAAACAGATCCAAGGTGAATTATGTCTCTGGTAATAACCCTAATACTTTCAAGACTCGATTTTCAGGTTACCTGTTTGCATATGTGCCTGCACAAACTGCACACCCCACATGTCTTGGCACTGGCACAGCAACTGTGCGCACAAAAGGGGCATCTGTGCACGCACATGGCCAGCTACACACCAGGCTGGACTTGGACTGCACACCCAGGTTGGACACACAGACCCCTCAGAGCAGTTGGCTCCCACTTTTGTTGAGTTACTGTCAAAAACAGTGCAGATAATAGAGCAGCAGAAGTTAAAAGCCAATTCCAAGTAACGTAGACTAAAGTGAGCTCTCGTATCACTCAAACAGTGCCAGCGGCTCCCTCGTTTTGCATCCATCTTTCCTAAAAAAGCTGCATTCAGCAATTCACACCTCACACCTCAGGTGCAATCACACCCCTAAAGGCTAAAACATTTCTTTTTTTTTTGTACAACCCTCTTGGCAAGTATCCTTTATATTTTATTACCAATATCTGTAATTTGGACTAAGTTATTCCCTTTGTATGACTGGCTACCTCCCAGCTGCCTCTGAAACCAACAGAGATGAACTGGGGGAAACAAAAGCAGCAGATGCTCTTCCTTCAGTCCCTACCACACACACTGCCATGCAGCACTCAGCACTCCAGACCTCTGTCCTTTCTCCTTCTTCTGATTTCTGGATCTAAAGAGGGGGAGAACTGTCACTGCTAGCAAATAGTGGGATGGTGATAAAATGACATTTTCTTCTTAATTCTCTATAATAATCTCTGTCAGAACGTTTTTTAAAAAAACAAATCCAAAACAAACAAGGCAAAAAAATATCCACAAACCCAGCCACCCAAATTCTGTTGTACTCGACAAATTTCCTTGTCCTCAGGCTCTTCACATTTTGCTTTTTGGTGGTGCCCATTTAACACAGACTCCCTCAGCACTGGCAATTATAATGAATTTTGCTGCATCTTAACTGGAAGCCTTCAAGCAGCCATTCCAGTATCAGGCACTGTGAGGTACATCGTGACAGCACCATCTCTGTTCACACTTCTCCAATATGCCCTTGATAAATCATCTCCTATATTTTCAACTCCTTTTCTGGATTGGCATTCAAACCTTCACTTGGTATTTCTGGAGTGTTAACAGCTGTCTCCCTATTCCTGGTGAATACTTAGTGAAGGTTCTTGAAAATAATCTCAAACACCTAGTGATCTGTTCCTAGGG